AATAGACCAAGTAGGTTTAGGTAAAATTAGCTCTGAAGACTAACAAAGGACAACTGCTTTCTTTTCAGAACGATTAATGAAATTTTTATTTTACAAACATGTTTCAAAAATAACTTCCTGAAATAGAAATTTATAACCTTATATATATAGCTGATTTGTAAAGTTCTATCGAATAGCTGGAGGTTTCTTCATATTAAAAGGCAGTTTTGCCTCCACTGTTGCTGAATGCATACTTGCTTTGAGGGACTACTGTCAAGCAATGATTCAATGCAATAAGCCGGTTTTTATTAGATGAGTAAATTATAACCAATCTGACTGTAAGATCTGGCTAAATGTTTTGTTTTGAGATGACAGGGGTTGTGAATTGGTGTTTCAATTCAATAAACTGAACTGAAATTGAATAGTTATTACAGTGACGGATTGAATCACTGAGGTGTTTCAGGCCCCCCACTGTGTCCTGGGTCATCCCCTGTGCTTCCTCCCAGTTGGGCGTACCTGGAACACCTTTTGAGGAAGGCGTTCAGTGGGGATCAGAAACAGCTTTGTGAGCCACCTAAACTGAGCCCTCATGATGTGGAGGAAAAGTGGCTCTATTCTGAGGGTGCTTTGGGCTTATCTCCAACTGCCCCAGCGCATGCTGTGGGTCTTGTCAGGAGAAAGCCAGCAGAACCACATCATCTGCAAGAAGCAGGGACGAATTCCAATGTTCCCCATTGAATGGGGCAATAAGATGAACTAGCAGCTCCATCCAGGCTTTACTTTACCATGTGCCACAAGACTCCGGAACACTGAATACATGTTATCTCCTGTCCTTTATTTAATCAGTTTAATAAGGGAAATCGGGTTGGGTCAGTAAAGCTGTCACTTATCAGCAAAGCAGATTATTGTCTAAGGCTGTTTTTAGGGGATGGGCACTACCCTATTTTTCAATATTGGCTGCTCCTAATGCCTCACCGTACCTCACCATATGTTTAGGCATATTTATGTCACTGCTTGTGTGAATGGTGATTATTAGATATTTTAGCAATACGGTGTAGATCAGGGCTCTGGGTGCCACTGTCCTACAACTTTTGGATTGATCTCTGCTTCAACATGCTTGCCTCTACATAGTAAATGACTAGAACTTTGCAAACTTGGTGACATCCAAAATTTTTTTAAATTTTTCCTTTTAATTTTCTTTTGCATTTTTTGTGTTAAATGTTCTCCCCTTTTTGAGTTTTTAAAATTGACATTTATAATTGATTTCTTTTAAACACTGAATTAATCTGACACGTTTTCCTTTCAGACACAACATGAATAAACATCTTAAATCTACAGGAATGTATTCGACAAAGAGAACAGATAAAAGTGACCAATGTTTCTGTCCCTTTCTCAGTAAACTGCCTTCCAGGCAAATGTGTGGCATCCAGTTTCAAACCTATTTATGGCAACAAGACCCTTAAAAGAACAGTTGAATGTGATCATGTGTGCAACATGGTGGAGGCTTTAACTGGCATACAGCTGGTTTAACCTAGAAAAAAAAAAAAAAAACATCTATAAAAGGACAAAGAATGTTGCTCTGAGAAAAGAAAGTTGGGATTAGGCCAAAAAAGGAATTCTGAGTTTCAAGTTAATTATTTCTGAGAAGGACTGTATTGATAACTCCTCTTCAATGCTGACTGATCTGAATCAGAGCCAGAGATGTTAAAGCTGTCTCTTTATAAAACAGATCAAACCTCAGCCAAATTTCCCCCTTTAAGCTTTTCATTAAAACAACAGACATTTCTGTTTTCGTTTACTAGAAGCAGGCAGTGGTCGAGGAATACCTTCAGGCAGAATGACAAATACAAGTATTTACAATAGCTGTACAAGAGATGCATGGCTGATTTAAAAAATAACCAACAGTGTCCATATTCGCTATTTGGGGTAAACACGTCCATTGTGATTTTCTGCATATGGAAAACAGGTGTCCTTCACAGAAACGCTTTTTTGATCCTTTAGAGAGAAAAAAAAGCTGTTGTAGGAAATATATATATAGGTGTTCAGGTTGAAGCATGCTGGCGTTCATGTTTTAATAACAAAGAATCCAGTTGTGGGTAACACCCAATCGTTTTCCTGTTTTTGACGAGTCACTGTGACTGAGGTGGAAAAGGCTTTCCTCCCTCAGAGGTTTAACGTTTCTGAACAAAGCAAAGCTGATGCGTCTGTTTACAACTGCCACAGCTTACATGCAATCATGATGAGGATGGACCTTAATAAATCAGAGACACTAGCTGAGAAAGGATGCTTGAGTTTAAACGTAATGAATATTTTCTCCAAACTGCAGAGGATCAGAATTAAACTTGTAATCTTAAAAACATGCATACACCTTTTGCAAAAATTCAGTTACATTCCTTTAACACGATTGAGTTTGGTTGCCCCCAAAATGCCCGTGGCATAATTCTGGGTGGATTTAAAATGCTACAGATAATTCAAAGCTTTTAGGCATACGCTATAGATTTTCACTAAGGCTAAGCGCAGGGCCATTAGGCTTCCTGAAGCTTTGTGTTAGTTTGCTTTTTTCCATTCCAAAACCCGTTTTGACTGCTGGTTGGGATGATTTATCTGTTAGAACACCCAACTGTTTAAAACCTTCAACCCTGATAGGAAAGGAAATTGATTTTATCAAGAACAAGAAAAAAGCAACTTCTGGTAAGGAGAACTCAAATGCAGATCTCCCCCTGAAAAGTCTTCCCAGGTCCCTCATACTGTAGTAAGGAAAAATAAGTTTATAATCTCACTTTGGGGAAATTTGTCCTTCATGTTTAACCCATACCTTAGGTGCTACCGCACTGAGAAGTCCTCAGGGAGTAACGTGGGGTCAAGGGTCATGCTCAGTGCCCCAGAGTGACAGTTTCTAACTTATGATCTCTGTTGCCTCTCCAGAACACAAACGCCCTGCTCTTTAACCACCGGTCTCCATCCCCACTTCAGATTTATGACCATCACACAATAGTTTGATAAGAAGTCTCTCATATTTCTCAAAGAATTGTCTGGAACATTTATAGCCCTTTAGGAACCGCCCAGAAAAAGAAATAGTCTTTAGCAGGTGAACAATTTAAATTTGTACAGTTGAATGTTTAAAAACCATTCATCTTTTTAGATTAAGCTTCTAACGTGTTCCTATATTTTAATTATATTGAAAATGTTAAGATTATAACAAGCCAGTTTGTTAAGATACACTTGATTAATTCAGATGAGTGGTCAAATATTCTCTGGATTCAATGGCTACTAATTTAGCACATCTAAGGCACAATTAAATGGGAAGGATACATACTTTGAGTCTCTAAGTGTTGGACCAAATCAAATATAAATTTAAAGTTGTGCATTTTTTTAATCACTAATGATATTTAAAGGTATAAACTTGAACAGAAAGGCTTAACTAAATAATAAAGCTCCAAGATAAAAAAGCATTCTTGTGAACGATAAGTTATCCCATAACTTTAGCTTTAAACTGGTTCATTATATGAAAAGAGATAATCTTCTCAAATACAGGGCAGCAGATTAACAACTAAAAAAAACACCCTCTGATGACAAAATGAATGATCATAATAATTTATTGACAATATACAGTACAGCATTTTGGGTCTATGATTCATTTTCAGACAGCCATGAACATTCACATATGAGGCATCTCGGTAAAACAAACCACAGCTGATACATTCAACTCTAAAAAAAACACAAACCAAAAAATAAAAACATATGACCCGTTCTAATCTCACAGAGCTTTTTTTTTTATTTATTTCCTGCTGATGGATGGATGTCTTTGTGTTGCCGCTGCAGAGCAGGGTGAAACCCCACCAGTTGAGCAGAAGCATTTCCGCACACTGAGTGTCAAAGTATCCTAGTTTGTGCAGAAAGGATTCTGTTAGACTGATGAGGGGGCCTGGCTAGAAGTCAAGACTCTACATCTTCAGAAACGATGCTTGATCTGCTCTCTATTTGGTCATGGATTTCACCATTTCCAGCGCCTCCACTGGTTTCCACTGCTGATTGATGGTGACGAGCTGCAACGAAATGTCAAAGACATTTGGGGGGGTGAAGTTTTAAGATATTGTAGACTGTAATTGTAAATATTTGCAGGATTGGCTGTGATGTCACAGAGAGCATTTGGTAGGAGTGATAGTGACTCAGCATTTATAACTAGCAGGATAGAAGGTGGAGCTTGATCAAATGAGGCTATAAAATGAACTAAATGGGTGATAAGAATCTTCTACACTAATAAAGTTAAAACACACCTTTTGGGGTTTAGATGGGTCAAGCCTTTCCCAGGGTTCTGGGTTTGAAGTCTTGTTCAAACTGCAGAGCACATTAAAAGCAACAGTTTGTAAATATTCAACTTGATAAAATGTCCTTTAAATAATAATAATAATAAAGACAACTCACATCACATCAGGCTTTGTGAACAGAAAGTAGAGGGAAGCAGATGTGGCTCCTGTTGCTGCAAAAGCCATGAATCCCACCAGAGGAATCAACTGAAACAAGAAACATATCAACACATTGTTTTTACTCCTCTCCTATCCTCTCCACCCAAAGCAGAGGAGAAAAACAAACATCTTACCTCCTTCCTCTTCCTCAGCATTTGGAAAAATCCAGACATGTTTTCAAAGTATTCCAAGCACCTACAATGAAAATAGTTCAGATTTAATCAGTTTGTTGACGTCCTCAGAGGCAACATCCCAAAGGCAGCAAGGTGCAATGTGATGCGTCTTACCTGCTGCTTCAGAGGTCCTTGACGTCTCTGAGTGCTGCGCAGCAGCAGGCAGGCTGATGTAGATCTGAGCGGGAGGGTTTACGAGGTAGAAGGCACGTAGACACATAGTGCTTCCTGTATTGTAATGTACAACTGAAGGGCAAAGCATCCATTTGGTGATGATAACTGCAAGATTTAAGTGTGTGGGGGCCCTCTAGTGGTCAGAGTTTAAAACTAACAACAATGTCATTTAAAAAGTTTATGAGACAAAAATATGAAACATTGAAAGTTTGATTATAATATAAAATTTATTTTACAGCTGAATATTTGTATAAAAATACATCTCTCAAGAGGATAACATCATTGTGGAGATAATAAATATGCACTAATCTGCTGAGCAGTGAGAGAGGGACTCATTTTGCTGATGGACTGCAGGAAATGTGTGTGTCGGATGGATGAAGCTTCCATGTTCTCCTCCAGCAGCGCCAGCAGAGCAGCCTGGAAAAATAAAACGTTTTTTTCAAATTTGTTTACTGAAAGTGTTTCATTTGGTTTCCCTAAGCTTACTGAATAATTACTTTTGATGAAAGGAAGGCAGCAGATACACGTACCTCCTTACAGAGGTTTTCCAGGTCGGCTCCAGAGTAAAGCTCGGTGCTTGCAGCCAGCTCCTCTAGACGCACGTCTGAATCCACAGGCATGGACTTTGTGCAAACCTTTAGGATGGCGAGTCGAGCCTTAATATAAAAAAACAAAACAGGGAACTATGATGGTAATATTCAATTCCAGATATCCTGTTGCGATTATTCAGGACAGTATAAAGATTTTGTGCCTTTATTTCTTTTTTTATGTTAAAAAAAAAATTCTAACTATAAAACCAAGTATCTACATTTTGAAAAGCACAATCCCCCCCCTAATTGTGCACATGATGAATAGTGAAGTCACCCTGATGTCACTGCATAAGGTTCAGTTCAATATGAAAGATCTGGACTATAACTCCTGAGTTCAACAAGCCATGATGGACGTTAACGAGGAAGCGAGTTCAAAGCAAACGCCAACACTGTTAATAATCACATTCAGAGCTTAAACTGGTCTAAGCTGCTTATAATCCTTCAACAATGGATTTTGGTCCACATCTCCCATTTGTTAACGCTACACCATGCAGTTATTGCTTCAGCTTACTATGTGACCTGCCAGCAGGACTATCAGATACATGCAGCATATGTCAAGGATCTAAAACGTGAAGCAACCCACTCAAAGCAGTAATTATACCAAATTTGTCAAAAAAATAAATAAAATAAACATTAAGCATTTAAGATAAAAAAAATATATATATATATTGTTTTTGTGTGTCAATACGCTCTATCCAGAACTCCTCATGTGGAAAAATGTTAGTTTCACCTGGTTTGATTCTGTAAAAAAGATCTCTTTAAGGAATCGTTGGCTATCCGATTATTAATCAATTAATTGAACAAATAATCGATAGATTAATAAATAAATAATAGTTGGTTGCAGCCCTAAACTGATTTAATCTCTAAAGTAAAGAAATGAATAAGATGCTGTGCTCTAAGTGTTACTGATTCTTGCCACAGTGGAAAGTCAAGCTTCAGTTGTGGAGGTTTAGGTAAGTTTGTCTGTTTCCCAAACTTCTTCCATGTGTTTCCAAATGATCCAGGAGGAAATAACAGATGTGTACAAACAAGAATACTGAGATGCTGACAAAAGCCCACAAAAAGTTTAAATGTTTAAACAAAAAACAAGAGGGTTTGGAGCAGTGTGACTGTTTTTTTAAAGTTATCCAGAGAAAACTCGAACCTGTAGATCAGGGGGTGGGACATAAATGACATGGTCCAGCCTGCCGGGTCTGAGGAGGGCGCTGTCTAAACAGTTGGGTCTGTTGGTGGCAGCTACAACCATCACATCCTTGTTGCAAACCTCCTGACACTCCAGCTGTAAAAAGGATTGAAAAAGGAAACATGTTAGTACAGCAGTCAGACTGCTGATCAGAGGCTGTGATCTAGCTAGCAGGTGACCTCCTCGTCTGCGTGACTCTGCTCCACTCCCTCTGTCTGGAGGATCCTCTCTGTTCCTCTCCTCTCCACAGTCTTCAGGCCGATCCCGTCCATCTCGTTCAGGAGCACTGACAGCAGCCGTGTCTGCACGCCGTTAGGGGCCCCGCCGTCTGAACGCGAGCCGATCAGTGTGTCGATCTCGTCGAGGAACAGAAGGCAGGGAGCACAGGCGCGGGCCTGCTGGAACAGCTGTGTGCACAGACAGAGGTAGGAGTTTTTGGAAGAATAAAACAAGATCACAGTGAGCTATGATTAAAAGAACGAACCTGAGCTAATGCTTTCTCCGAGTCTCCAACGTACGGAGAATACAGGTCGGCACCGCTGACAGAAAGGAAGGCACAGTGGGACGAGGTGGCAGCAGCTTTCACGAGAGTCGTTTTTGCACATCCTGGAGGTCCGTATAAAAGCACGCCACGGGGCCGACGCAGCCCCAGACGGACAAAGGCCTCAGGATGTCTCATGGGCCATTCGATGCTCTGTGGTGGATAATTTCAAAAGAGGTAAACTCCCTTCGTTCTTAATTTTAGTTTGAGACAAATCCTGTAATGAAACATGGACTTTTTATTCTATCCTCTATAAATTTAGCTCAACTGCTCGATCAGCTACCTGTCTTAGTTTGGTTTTGACTTCCTCCAGGCCCCCGATCTGCTCCCAGAGCACCGGGGAGAGATCCGTCCTGCCCAGGCTACCTCTCAGACAGGAGGGGCCCACCGCCTTCAGGCCTTCCTGGAAGTGTTTCATCTCCACCAACTGCTGCCCTGATCCCTGCAGAACAGGACACAGAATGTAAACATACTGAAAAAGAAATTGGATAAATGCAAAGTATCCATCAGTGATGTAATGTTACTTAAATATGATATTTCTATTGTTTTGTTTAGAAAATAAAACCGATTTCTGTCATCATTTCTGGTTTAAACTTTTCATCAAGGGAAACACAAGAACAATATTGATATAGCTATATTACAGACTCTGTTTAATAATTTCAACCTGATTTTTAATGTTGTGCCTAACGCAGAGTGTATTTGTATTTTCTTATATTGTCTTTTATATACTCATCAGTACTACGATCTCAGCCACTGTTTAGTTAATTCTAAAGTAAATTTTGTGCAAGACTAATAACTATACTTGATTAAATTGAAGAATTGATGTTAGGAATGGATCACTAAAAGTGATAAATTTCATCTAAACAGAAAAGACAAACTATGTCCCATGATTAAATGCCTTCTCAGTTGTCAGTTTTTGTATTTTTGACCTTGTTGTGGTTTTGAAGTCCAGCCCTTTTTTAAAATGAGCTTTGCATGCTTGTGTTTCTGCACAGCTCTCTTCAGGGTTTCACCTCAGAATTTCTACCAGATTGAGATCTGAACATTGACTGGAAAATTCTAATATCCTTGTTCTTTTCATTTCTCATTCTGTTTTTTTTTTTAGCTTTGATGCAGTTATTCTGCATCACTGTCTTGTTTTCTTATAGCCCAACCAAGTCCCAGCTTTGGCTCTCTCTTCTTTATTGTTGAGCGGAGATGCAAAACAAATCCTCATCCCTCCACTCCCAGGCCAAGCAGCTGATATGAGGTTGCTAGTAAATATACATTTTTCACTATTACCACTATTCAGTGTTTACTTTTCACCAAACGTGGAACAAATATGGCTGAATACCTCTTGGTCCTGACATCTGAGCTCTAAGATGATTTTATTTTAACTCCTCCTTTGAAAATGGCTGAGGGTTGTAAGAGAAGAAGTGTCTACGGAATGTACGAGAAGAAAAGAAAAACGACTAATTCATCTGTCTGAACGGTCAGTTAATTGAGTTCGCTATAAAGTCCACAATATACTCCCCGCTCTATATAGTAATTGAGGGATTTAGGGGTTAGGGCGGATGTTTGAACACAGTAAGCTTTGTGAGTGATGAGAACAGCAACTTTTAAACAGAGCGTGCACGAGGAGAAATGAGCTTGTGCACGCTCTCGCACATATTTAATAGGCATTCGCTCTCAGGAGCAGGTTCAGGGTTGAGCATTTTTTTTTTTTTTAAGTGGAGAGGGCGGGTCTTTTAAAAAAAAATTGCATAAATTCTCCACAATACCTTTAAGTACATCAGGTTCCTTTCATGACTTTGGTTGCAACAGCAGAAGTTTTACTTTAGGAAAACAAAGAAAATGAAAACTGAGCATGCTTAAAACCCCCTTAAAAGTCCAATATTACGCTAAATTCACATCATAAATCTTTTGCAATAGTAAAATGTTTCCTAAAGAACAGCTCATCAGGAGGAGGACTGTCTGCCTAATCTGAGAGGGATTTTCCAGCACAAAAATGCTCTGAGGGACTCATTGTTACTATTTTTTGTCAAATGTAGCATAATATGGAAAATTTAACAGTTCATTTCCAACGGTGACAACTAAAAACATTAATACTAAATCAATGCTCCTTTTCTAGAATCATTAATAAGCTCAGCTGAGAGTTTTATCAAAAGAAACACCGAAGTTGGACTCAGTAAACTGCTGCATTTATCAAAGCTGAGCAAATGATCATCAATGTAAACGCATTATTTATCTTCAATAATGCGTTTACATTTATCTTCTACCTTTACATTCTCTCTCAGAGCGTGCATGGCAGCTTCCCTGCATAGAGCACTCAGATCTGCTCCAACATATCCTGTGGTTATCTGTGCAAGCTCTGCCATGTTGACGGTGGGGCACACAGGCATCCTCTCACACAGAACAGTCAGGATGGCTTTTCTCTGCAGCAGCGTCGGAGCACCAATGATCACCTGCAGAGAAGAAAAAATAAACAGAGCTCAAAGGTTTGTTGTCGATCTACCAGATAGTTTATAGAATATACCACACAAAATGAAATGCTGCACCTCTCTGTCAAACCTCCCAGGCCTACGCAGTGCTGGATCCAAGCTGTTGGGTCTGTTGGTGGCTCCAATGATCAGGAAGCGGTCAGAGCGACTCATCCCATCCATCAAGGTGAGAAGCTGAGCCACCAGCCGGTTCTCCGCTGAAGACGAGCCGCTTCTCCTCGGGAACAGAGAGTCCAGCTCATCCAAAAATAAAACACAGGGACCTTCTTCTGCTGCAGAGCGGGCGTTCTCAAACACAGCCCGCAGGGTCTCCTCGCTCTCACCCGGCCGCGACCCTACAACCTGAAAAAGGTCGTCGCATTTCTTACTCACTGGGCTTAACACAGCAGCTCTGTAACCTTGAATAGCTTTGATTCATGCCATTACGCTTTCTAGACAAAGTAGCTAATTTCTTTGTTTACATTTTAATTGACCTATTTCATATTTTCCAATATTGCTATTAAGGATATATTCAATTTTATCTATATATTTTTAATTGAAAATTTGAACATAAGCTCAAATATTAAAGGTAGCAGATTAATTTAGTAGTTTGCTCCAAACTATTCTGCAGAATATTCATCTTTGTACAGTTTGGTTGTAGAAATAGAAGCAAAATAAGCAAATATTAAATGGTTTATTACTTGGGCAGTCTACTTAGATAGCAGATGTGGTCAATCGTCTCACAGACATGCTATATATAATACGCTAAATTTAGTATTAAAATTACAATACCTGCATAGATTCCTTCACCTTGACTGGCCCAAGTCTGTTTGCTAGTGTTGCAAGCTTCTTTTAGAAAGCGGATCTAAAAGAAGCCTGAGAAGATTTACAAGTATCTTTTTAATTCACAATCCTGCAGAATGCTAAAAATGTCATCATTCATAAAAGTCAGGTAATTCTTTCCTCTTTCTACATTATTGAACTATGTTTCTGGCAGGAGTGCATTCCAGAAAACAGAAAAACAACAAACCAAGTTTTTCACACTGTCCCTGAATGGAGTTTGGAGCTTCACCAAATAATTAGAACATGAACAACTGCTATTTGTATGGAGGTTCCAGGAACATGTGTAAGAAACTCAAACAGATCTAAAACTTTTGCTGTGGAATTCCAAAAAACCTGAAAAACAATCCACTGGACTTTCTTTCCAAGTTTGAAGCCCTGGTATGTCTAAATATGTGGAAATGAACGCTTAATTTAATATAACATATTAAAAACATCCCCATCAACATCCAGCATATGTGCAGTTTCTGTCCAAATATATTCTTTTAGTTGTAGACTTTTGTAACAGGGAAAACTAGGGTCATACATGTTTCTATGAACTATGTTTGTTCTCCACTTCCAAACTCAGCATCTTTTCATCCATGCCTGCGATAAGAAGTTTCTTTTGAAGTTGTGAGATTCGCTCTTGGAAGTTGTTGTGACTGGAGTTGATTAAACTTTTAAGCCTCTTGGTATAAAATAAATATTGTAATCGAGATTAGAAATCTGCTTCCTGGTACGTTGAAGAACCAACAGTTTGCATCCAATCTTTTAAATAATAAAAATTATCTGTCGTTACCATATTTTAATTTGACAAACCAAATCTTCTCTCTGTTCTTTTCCTGTTTGGTGTGATTACAATTGCGGATCTTGACCTGGCCGGACCAGACCAGAGCAAAATATAGCTTGGCTCCGTATTTTGATGGTGACAGACGGAGAAGACGTACGTGGACAGTGATATGCGGAGGAGTAGCGGTGGATGTGGAACATTTCTCATTGATCAACATGACAGACAAATACGTACTTGAGTGGAGCGGAGCGCTGACGGAGTATGTGGAATCTAGGGGTTAGAAAACATGCTGGCTGAGCAGGCGAGATGTTTTGGTCAGCCAGGCCAAAATGGGCCCAGTATCGGGTATTGCAGGCTAACAAGGAACCCAAACAACTCCCCATTCCTAACGGGTGGACCCGTTCTTCTGGTCCAATTTGCATGTTTTCTAAGCCAAAACAAGACTTTGTTTGTCTTCAAACTTGGAAACAAAGTCCAGTGAATTGTTTTTTTTTACTTTTCTGGAATGATTATGGAAAAAAAGCTAAACAACCTAGAAATGCAGTATTGAGTTACTTTTTTTGTGTTTTAACCAAATATTTAAGTTAAATTAAAACATGAAAATGTGTCCTTTGTTCGTGTGAAGCTCTCACCTCCGGCCCTCTGACCACCACCAGGCTGGCTCCCACCTCCATCACCACCCTGCGGACCAATAAAGTCTTCCCAACCCCTGGAGGTCCCACCAGGAGGACCCCTCTGGGACAGGACACACCCAGGGAGGTGAGGGTGCTGGGATAAAACAGGGGCAGCTGCAGCATCTCTCTCAGGGATGCAGTCACCTGCAATAGATAGAGGACAATAAGTGTTGGTGTGAAGCCAGTAGATTCAAACAGGAGGGATGATTCTTCAGGCTGACCTCCTCCAGTCCTCCTAAAGGAGGTGCCACCTCCTTCATTAGTAGACTCTTGTAATGCTGCATAGTCTGAACCTCGATGATCTCCAAACCAGTTTTAGAGGTGATGACCCCAGCAGCAGCAGCAGGATCTGGACCGACCCAAACTATTCTAACATATTGTATGTCCGTATTAAAATCCTCCATGTTTACTACATACTCCCTATGGACGTAAACGCCCCTCAGCATGTCCTTCACAAACTCATGAAGAAGACTGGAAGGGGTGTGTTTCTTAAAATCATGACTCTGGACTATCACGGTTACTTTAACGCGCTTTAGTTTGGAGCAAGGTAAAGGACTGAGCTGAACCGGGTCTAAGGTGAGGTGGGCGGGGAGCCCAGAGGTCAGACCGGGAGAGAAACATTTCAGGTCCATCTGAATGAAACCCTCCGCCAAGTCTGGACGGGGCCATGCGGTGCACAGGCAGCTTCCTCCGGGCAGAGACACTAACAGAGGGGAACCGAGTCTTAGACCCAGCGTGGACATCAAACCAGGGCCCAGTCTGCATCTCTGAGAGCCCCGGTCTGAGGGATCCACAGACAGCAGCCGAAGAGGCGGCATTACTTACAACAGACCCGAGGAGAGACAGGTGCACTCCGGAAACAAAAACCTTACTTTACAAGCGTCCATTGAGGCCAAGCAGACGCTTAAAAAGACGCTGGATAAAACTTTTAAACTATCAAATTCTCCCTTGAAACAATCCAATGGCAGTTACATCAGTCAATGAGAGCTCAGAGTGTTTACAAAATCCGCGTGGTGCTTCTTCTTCTTCTTATGGGGTTTTATGGCGGTTGGCAGACTAGTGAATTGTGCATTACCGCCACCAACTGATATGGAGTAAAGCAAGAAAACAGAAAACGATTCACCCCCCCCCCCCCAAAAAAAAAAAAAAAAAAAAAAAAAAAAAAAAAAAAAAAAAAAAAAAAAAAAAAAAAAAAAAACCTGTGTAACTTAAACCAACATAATACTAAATCACATTTGCCCATATAATTTTTAATTTACTCTAGGTCATCTTAACTCTGCCAGTTTCTGATGGTCCCATCGGTCCTCCCATCATACTTCCAACCATCTCCCAGTTCAAATCTTTAATGTCCAGATATTTTTCTGCAGCCTTCACTATTATTTTGATTTTTTCCGTTTTTTTTGTTGTCTGTGCAGTACAATTAATTACTTCTACCATGAAAAGAACAAAATTTGTCTTTTTAACAATAAGTGAGTCTTCATCAATTTTTTGATTCTCTAGAGGTTTGGAATTTGCCGTGTGTTGAACTGTAGGTTTGGGTTTTTCTGACTGAGATGGGATCCTTTTTGCAGCTTCAGCGTAGGTTATTCCGAGCTCAAATTTCATTTTTTTAATTTCCTCAGACCTTTTGCTTGCTTCACAGCCGCGATAAGCAGCAGTATGTTCTCCACCACAATTACAGCATTTTATTATAGCTTCTTTTCCACATTTACCATATTCGTGTTCTCCTGCACACCTTCCACACCTCTGTTTCCCTTTACAAACTGCTGCAATGTGACCGAATTTTTGGCATTTGAAACATCTCAATGGTGGAGGATTGTAGATTTTGACATTATAGCTTATGTAACCGATGAATACTTTGCTTGGTAATTGCTCTTCCTCAAATTTAATTAGCACTGATAAACTGTCAGATCTTTCTCCGTTTCTTGTTGTTTTTAACCGTTTTACTTCTTTTACTTTTGCACCGCTTATGTTTTCCAGAATCTCTTTTTCAGAAATTTTTAGAGGAACTCCTCCAATGACTCCCCTGCTGATCTTTTTGTTCTCCATTAGGCTGCACTGAACTCTTATCCCGTCAATTTTGTTGATCCGTATTGCTTTGCCTTGCTGGGCGCTGTCTCTGCAGTTAATTAGCAGGTCTCCACTGTACAGAATTCTGGCACCTCTGACTTCTCCGACAAGTTTATTGATGGTTTTTGTTAAGTGAACCGGATTCCAATTTGTAAAAGAGTCTGCCTGATTAACGACTTTGAATATGACTTTGAATTCATTTTGTTGTGCTGTGGAATGTATGGAATGATCATCACTGGATTGTTCTGAACTAGATTCCCCTTGAACTGATCTCTGTTTTTTCCGCTTTTTCTCATTTTTTGATGTTGCTATCTTCCACCCTTCATTGTCACTATTTCCCTCTTCCATCCCACAAGAATCGCTTCCTGTTTCCTCACTACTCACGGCCCAAGACATTTCTCCATAAGCAGCTTCAAAACACGCGCCATGCACCAAACGACCATCCACATCCGACCGACTCCCCTTTCAAGTTCCTTCGATGGACCTCCGCGTGGTGCTTAAAAAAAGATGGCCAACAAAAACCTTTCCCTGTTCCAAGGGCTCCTCCTCCTTCTTCTTCTTTTTTTGTTAGATTGCAAAAAACTTTTTGGTGCCTACCGCCACCTACTGTACATTAGTGTGTAGCTCTATAGTTCCACCTACTATCTTCTATTTTTTTTTTTTTTTTGTTATGTAAAAATAAAAACAATGCTTTATTAATAACCAACTTCTTCTTTTCTATTATAGCGGATTTCAAGCAACTTTAAGGTGCATACCGCCACCTACTGTATACGAGTGTGTAGCAACATTACTTTACATCAAATTCTGTTTTTTTTTTTTTTTTTTTTTTAATTCTGTAGATAAATAAATAATGCTTTCCTTAATCTGTGAATATCGTTTATGTTTCCTTCATTTCCCAATATTCCTTTAGGACTCCATTCTTGTTCGAAGGGCTGGGCAGAGTTCATTGGTAACGTACAAGTGATCTTAAACCAGTGTGAATGGGAAAAGTCAAAGCGGTCCAACCAAATATGGGTTCAATTATTTTTGTCTTGTACTCTGGTGCTACCTGGTGTACAGAAAAGAAAATACATCAAATCTCATGTTCTTCCCAAAAGTTAAAATTGTGTCAAACTTAGAAAAGTTATTTCACTACGAAATCTTAAATCAAAAGGAAGTATGCATTGTTTTTGCTAGCATTTTTTATATTCACATTTAGTGATATGTAAAGTTTTATATTATCAATGGAGCTTAAGGTTAGATAGAAAAATAAAAATAAATCAAGTTCATACACAAAAATAGTGTCAAACTTTGAAAGAAAAATGATTTCACAATAAAATCTTAAATCGATGTCATTTATCCATGGATTTTGATGATTAATTTTCAAATTTAGTGTAATGTTTTTACAACCAGTGGAGCCATAGTGTGTGCAGGAGTGGCAGCCTCCTGGTTAGGGCTTGGACTTGGAATCCTGAGGTTGTGAGTTGAAATCCACCCCCACAGACTGTCACTCTGGGTCCCTGAGCAAGACCCTTAACCCGTATAGATACTGCAGTTTAAAGACACTCTGGTAAAAGTATGTGCCCCAAAAACTACTTAATGTATAAAAGTATAAAGTAACCTTAAAAAAAAAAAAATAACAGCCAGCAGCAACTATGTGAATTGAAAGCTCAATTTTACGACTAAATTCTTTGAGATAAGGCCAAGGATGAGGGAGGACTTGTTGGTCTTTGTCTCCATCTCCTGATACCCTCTCGCCTGTGTCCGACCTTTCAGACATTTTAACATCTTTTTCTGAATCCGACATTGTAGCATGGCATAGACAATTCACGTTTGCAGTTTGAAGAACACCTGCTTGCTTCTGATGATTTCCTTTAGCTTACCAATGTTTGCCTTATATGACTTATCCAATTACACTAGTTTTCACTAGATGTGGATATCGGCAATGATATGCATTGGATGGGCGCACAATTGCAGCCCACTGCTTCCCAAAGGGGATGGGTTAAATGCAGATAGTTAATTTCTCCATTGTGAGATCAATAAAGTTCAATTTATGTATTCATTATTATTATTTATAGGTGAAAAACACAACAAAATAAAACAAGGAGTTCCTGCACAACAAGTGTGGTCTTGTGACATGTTTGGCTTGTTATAAATATATCTAAAGAGAACAGCAGTGATAGAAGGTCATCAGGAGATAGTATGTGTCCTCCAAGTAAAGCTGCCATTGAGAAAGACAAGACCCATTCACAAGATATAAAGAAATCTTTTATGAAAATCTGTGGATATCAACCCAGCCTTCATTTTCTAACTGCAAGAAGCCATGTGACAGTTTAACTGACAATTTGCATTAACGAGGAAAACCTTTGTCAGAACATTTGTTTGTTATTAACTAATTTAGATTTTGAATGGAGCAGTGCATTCTGCTGATTAATTTCTATAAACCATCTGAGCCTTACATCTCTGTGTTGTCACATTTCCAGAACTGGAATGTAATATGTAATCAACGTTGGGGCCTGGCAGAGAGAGAGAGAGGGAGCTGTGTCCTGCAGAGCTGAAATGTCACTCTGCTGTCTGTAGGCCTGCAACACAGACAGCCCGGGTGTGTGACTGAGGGAATCAGGACCTTCTGGAGGGAATCAAAATGTGCTCTGCTATCTGACAGCAGATGAATAAACGGTCTTAAAGCAGCATATCTATCTGCTTGTTTAATTTAGAGGGAGTCTTGGAGCCATGTCGACTCTCCTGCGCTGCATCTCCAGCTCCTGCCTTGTTTTGTCCCAAAGAAGGGTTCATCAGAAAATACTTGGAAGGAGGCATTTCAGAACTTTTCCTGCATTATGGGACCAACAGGCTTCCAGAGGTAGGAGCCGTGCTGCTCAAACACAATCTGTCTTGATTTGGATTTACTCCATTTCCAGGTTTAAGGTTTTAGAGCTCAATGTCACCTTTCATTTGGACTAAAGGAGGGAGAAATGATTTGATTTATTTGAAAAGGCTTTCAGAAGGTGAGCTAAGATGTTCCCAAAATAGGAAAAGACACTGTGAAGTAGGCCGTTGTTTCACTCACTGAAGTGCAGGCGCTGCTAACATGTAGGTCAGCTAAAGGTGACATGTTAGATCCTCGCTGTTTCCTGGAAGGTTTTCTGAACAGATGCAAGTTTGTGCAGAGGCTTTACTGTGGAGGCACCACAGAGTGTTTGTGTTAGTTTTAGGTTTTACTGATGGCTTTTAAAAAAGGAAATTCTGAGTGTCTCTGTGGGAATGAAGGCCTCCCTGTGAGCATGGTGGATCAGAGCCAATCACCTGCTACTTATGTCACCATGGTGGCGAGGTCACCAAGCCATGTATGGACAAAGAAATGTGCAACATGATAGTTTTTCCCAGCCACACAATGTCAGCTGTAGACTCATGCTCTCTAAAATCAGTGCAGGCAAAACATGTAACATTTAATTCACAACTTTAAAGGTTCATCTGATTTTTATGGTTTGTGTTCCCCCTCAGAAACCTTGAATGAAAAGCTGTTCTTACTGCTATTTATTGCGTGTTTGTTTAGGTGTGCCCTACAAAGATTTAGTGGTTGGTGTTCCTAAGGAAACATTGCAGAATGAACGCCGCGTGGCATTATCACCTGCCGGGGTTCAGGCTCTGGTCAAACAGGGCTTCAACGTCCAGGTGGAAAGCGGAGCTGGAGATGAAGCTAAGTTTTCCGACCAGCAGTACAAGGAAGCAGGAGCCACCATCACTGACGTCAAAGGGGCTCTCGGCTCGGACTTGGTCCTCAAGGTTTCACACATCCCTTTTATTGCTCTCTATGTTGTCTTTTAGTGATCTGTAATGCTCTAATTTACGCTGCAACTTAATTATTCCTTTTTTTCTTCAGGTTCGGGCTCCCAGTTTAAGTGAAGCGGATCTTCTAAAGCCCAAGTCCACCTTGGTGAGCTTCATTTATCCGGCACAGAAT